ACTAGGGTTGTTTCCTGCCCCCTCTCCACCCTGCAGCAAGCTGCATGGTAGAGAGATGCTGGTGGCATAGCCTGATGAGCCTTTCCTGAAGCCTCTGAGGTCAGGGAGGGTGCTCCTGGCTTCAACCCCAGCACCCATGTCTCCCTGAGCACGCGTGAGTGCATGCTCAAGCCTGGCTACTTCCCGTCCTGCATGCCTTCCTGAATGCCAGCCCCACAGTGTTCCCTGGAGCAGTGGCATGCGGATGTGCGGCAAGGTGCTCCCTGCTTGCCAGACCATGTGTCAGTGCTCCTGGAGCAGCAGCTGCTCCTCAGTTTTCCCGCTTTTCCATGCTGCTGCAGGGTCAGGCTTATTCTGAGAACAGGTGCCTGAAGCTGATGGTGCAGCTGGCACCTAGGTTAGAGGGATGAGGCATATGGGGGCTGTTTGCGAGCTTGTACACCTGCACGGTTTCAGGGTACCCAGAAAATATTAAGGCAATTTAACTGCTAAGCCTGGAGGTTTTTAAAATACACTCCAAATGCTGCATAATGTCTATAACCCCAGTTGTTCTGTCCTTCAGGAGTGTTACTGCTTTGGGGTGGCTGGATACAACATGGTATAAAGGATATAACAGTGTTGCACCATGCATGCCTAACTGCAGGAAAAATGCAACTTGCGGTCTTCCCTGGAGGTTGCATACTGCCAAGCGTGGCTGGTTAACACTGGTTAACTGGTTTGTAGTGTAAGGGTGGTTTTTAGTTTGTACTCTGTGGTGGCAATAGTGACCAGAGGCTGTGGTCTGTGAACCAGTTGACTGAGAGCCTGCCTCTGAAGAGCCGTGACTCAGGAAAGCTATCTCGCTGTCAGCTGGCACCTCACTGCTCTGTGGAGGGCTTTGCTTTTACCAGCAAAACCTTAGGGAGCTTGCAAATGGGAAAAGATGGAAAGCCTGCTCTGTCTTTCCAGAGGTGAAGTGAGATCATAAAGTTACCATTTTGGTGCACTGATGGTTTTGTGGATTATTAATTGTATTTTTTTCATTTTCATGTAGCTCTCTTGCTTCTTTCCTGTCCACCTTTGTCTTTCTCTTTGAATATATGTGCAGTTGATATCCAAAATTCTTTATTGATCTAATAAAGTGTTGAAGTGGGATGACTTTGAAAACACTGCAGGGTAGCTTAGTGAATTCATTTTAAATTAGTGTTTAACATACAACCTCTTCTTTAAAGTTCCCAAACATTCTGTGAGCAGTGTTGTAGTTATGGCTGTTTTCAGAGAACTTGAGAGTTTGCAGGAAAAATCATCCTGGGGGGTAAATATTTTCTACTTGTTTTCACTACAAAAGGGAATAAGCTGTTATTGTCAGTGTTTGTGGGAACACAGCTGTCCATCCATTCGTGAGACCTTGTGGTATACGATGATACTCCCATGGTCATTTTTTAGATACTGAAGCATGGAAGTGAAACCCCCTCATTTCATTATGCAGCTATATGCAAATAATCCTTCCCCCCCTCCCCCCCTTTTTTTTCTTAATGTTATTTCTGACAGTTTTTTAGACATTTCACAGCACCCCTGGTAGATTGGCCCAAAACAAGAGAAAGCGGTCCTGGAAGTTCAGCCTGGCTCATACCAGAGTGTGCTGCCTCACTCGCTTTGTTGCAAATTCACATCAACCCACTGGCATGATAATGTGAAACAAGCTGTGGAGTCATCTGCAACTTTGCTTAATCTTGAGCAGTCAGGCTGGCAAGAGAGTGGAAAATGCTCTTCAGCAGGAGGTTTGATGCTTAGGAAAGTCTGAGATGGAGCACAGATTTGTGCCACATATAGGAGTAAATTCCTGCTTGGATGGGGATGGCCTTGCTTCTGTCTCATGCCCATTGGTGCTGTTGTGCAGGGTGACAGAAGAGGAGCAGCAGATCTTGCCCAGTTCCAGTCTGTGTTCTTCTGGTGCTTTGGGGGGCCTTGCCCATGCATGGTGACAGGGATGTGCCCAGTGGGGTGTTTGCTCAGGCAGTGTTCTTCATGCCAGGGCAGCTAGGAATCGTGGAGCCTCGCTGGAGTTCAAGTGAACTGTATAATTAGCATTATTTTAGCTTCTAGTCAGTTCTGATAGTACCAGGAGGCTGTTTCTACTTTGCATAACTTACTAGAAAAGGTGTTTGTACTTTCCTACATGTATACCTTATATAGAAGAACATGCGGTTCTCTTTGTCAGGTGACAGCATGAACTCTGGTTTCCAGTGTCATGACCAGCAGGTGTGAAATCTGCATCAAAATGCTTTTCCCAAGCGTCTTTTAGGCTGACTAGGGAGAAGTACTGCTGTGTGTTCTGGATGCTCATACTTGAGCTCAGGGCAGATGCCTGCTCTGGTCCCCACTTGTGTCAAGGGACTTTTCCTTCGAGTTTGTTAGTAGTTGAACTGGGGAAGTGATCTGAGAAATCTTCCAGCGTGAAGAATGTGAGGTAGGAATGGATGGGGGGAAGCCTAAGGGATATGAGGGAAGCAGTAGGCTATATAGAAGGTCCAATAAAATCAAATAACAAAACACACCCATAAAACTGCAGGACCACAGGTTTGAAAGGGTAGCTTTGTGTTTACATGCTTGGCACAGCTTTCATTTCTAACTTGTCTTCCTTCCTTCAGGCATCCTCCTGCCAGAGAGGTGGTCTGTGTGCCTGCTCTCTGCAGCTGGAGAGTCCCTGGTCTAGTCATGCCAATGATGGCAGAAGGCCATAGCCAAGGGAGATAACAGTCTTCCCCATAGCAGTCATTGCCCTTGGGTGAGTGTGCTTGGCTGGCTTTCCACATCATAGGTTTCAGGCAGTAGGGCATTAGAAATGTTATAGGCTATTAAATATATTCTTGGAGCATTTGGCTGCACTAAACACAGCTTTTAATAGAGTTCAGATTTGAGATTTTTTGGGACAGAGAGGGTTTGGACATAAACTTTGTTAATTTGGTTTTGAAAAGGGAAGTTCTTTCATGCTTTGAAGGAAAAAAAGACTATGCAGACATAACTGCAAGTCTCTTCCTTAAATCAAAGTTTTCTGCCTGAAATGGGAACAACTCAGCGGAACAGTTTAAGTAAACATGGCCACAACTGCTTATCTGAGACACTGGCATCCTCTCTTCTTACTGTGGGTTTTTGTGGTATCTTGGCATCACTTAGTCAGTGATGTGTTTGTTCTCACAGAACCTCCTTCACAGGCATATACTTTTACATCCAGTATTTGAGGCTTCATCTGAACAGCTCATTTCAGGAGTGTAAGTTTTCTACACCTATGTAGATGAGATTTTTGAATTGGTGTTTGAAAGGTCTTTCCCCCTCTAGCCCCCACTTTCTTTCTACCTCTGTTGTGGCTTCTACATTTATTGTGGATGAAAAAAACAGGCAACTGTTCTTGAGTCATCTCAAGTTAGTGTTCAGCAGAGAACAGGATAAAATCTAGGCCAGAGATGGCAAGTGACTGGTGGTGTCCAATTGTAGCCTATGTGTGGAGTATGTGCGTGTAGTATAAACACTATGAGACTTGCTGAAAATCACGTATGTATGTGAGAGGGCAGGGAGTTAGGTACTGTGCTCTAAAGCTCGTGTATGAGCATGGGATCGTTTTCTTCTGCTAGGTAGAAAAAATGCACCATACTGTGAGAATGGCTTATTGATGCCTGACAGTGCAGCTTGGATGGGTTTTGCCTGTGTGTGTTAAAATCCTGTAGACTCGCACTAGGTCTCTTACCCAGGGAGCACTGCCACATGTAAGTAACTTTTGTGCACTTTTCTTCCAATGTACTGAATTAAAACTTCATTATTCAAAATAATCTTGAGTATTTTGCTTTTGTGACCAGCTTCTAAAGGACCAATTTGTTTTAATTTGTACATAAACAACAACAAAAACATTTTAGTTACAGAATGTAGGATAGTAATTCGATAAGTCTAGTAAATAAAATACTCTTGTATTTCATAGGGTAATTTGGCATATTCTGTAGCATATTCTTTAAAGTTATGGAAGAATAAGAAATGAGAAGTGAGAGAAGCTTTTTCTTTATAGGAATTAATATGTATATGTTTATGAGGCTCTAGTATATGTTATTCCTCTTTTTGACTATTATAAGGAACAAAATCGATCAATTAAAAAATAAGAGAGAAAAGGAATACTGTGCCCCTCTCTCTGCCAGTTCCATCATGCTTCAGGCAGCAGTGCATCAGGACGTGGGAAATGATCTCAGCCTTACCTTTAGTTTTATTGTTAAAAGAGGTGTGTCTTGGTGAAATAGTCTCCAAAATTATAAAGCGAGTTCACATGCAGGTGTAAGTATCTTGCACTGCTGATGCCAGTCTGGTACATAAGAGCTTCACAACTGTTTGGATTTGCTCTTCTTTCATAATGGGCTGTAACTTGTTTACTAATGCTTGAAAGCATGTACGCATCAAATAAATCTCTGGTATTTGGGCCATAGTGTACCAGCATTAGGCAAAAGGAAGATTAGCCACACTCTATATTAAGCTATGATCCACTTTACTCTTGATTCCTAGCTATACTAAAACAACCAAACTATCAAAGAACAAAATTAGTGGAAAGATTCCTCAGACAATAGATTTATTTCCATGTTTGTTTGCATTATTGTTAGGAAAAGGGCAATCAGAAGAGCAAATCTCTGTGGGGCTCAGGGCATTATGAATTAGTCATAAGATATGAAGTGAGCTTTTGGGTGTGGAAAACTAGCAACAGATGCAAATGCTAAATAGCTGCATCATATGCTGTTCCTGCAACAGCTGGGAGACAATACATACACTTTGCTGGTGCTGTTGATGGATGGTCTTTAGCAAGCATTGGAACTAGACAATCTTAGGCCCTTTCCAACCCTAACTGTTCTATGATTCTGTGATTATATTGTATTGGCAAATCTGACAGAATGAATTTGCAACAGTGACTCAAAAGACTTTCCTAACATGAAGCATCTTTATTGCATATCATTTAAGCTCTTTCCTGTTTTTACTCTGCTCTCTTTCAGTGAAAAGGTCAAGAAAAGCAGTAGCTCAGTGGCTGAATTTTTCAGAAGTGCTTTACAGTGGGGAAAGTGGGGAAACCTCTTAAAGTGGTGTCTTACTCAGTAAGTTAAGCCTTTTGTTCCTCAGTTAATTTATTTTCCCTATTTTTTTATTGATTCATATGTATCAGATTAATTACCGTGACTTTTAAAGTATCTCCAGGCAGGAGCGGAGCTCCACTTCAACTTTTCCCCTCCCCTAGAGTTAGCCTTTGCTGTATGAAACCTGTCAGCCCACCTTGCTAGACATGGTAACGTTGAGTCAACTCTGTAGTTCTGTAACATGATTGCCCATCTGCAGCGAATGTGTTTGGTTGCTGTATTCTGGTTCGGAGGATTACAGTATGCCTCTTTCCTCTTCACTTTCTCTGCACATCTGTGTGCATGAACCTATATGTTTGAGTAACACTCTCCCTTTGCCATTGGACTCTGAAAGCCACCAGTTGCATTAGCTTAGATTTTCAAAGCTCAGAACACGAGCTTTGTAAGCAGTAAGCTAGGTATACTCGATACTGCTATCACGCTAAGGAAGTAGAAGAGAACTCTATACGTTACAGTAAAAGATAGAAATGAAGGCACACAGGAAGGTTTTCTTGATGTACCTACAGTTTCAGCTAGTGCTGGTGCCTTACTGTTGATTCAGATTGAATATCAGAGCCTTAGAAAGTTAAGTGCTGAATATTCAAATGTCATTTATAGCATTAAATGAGGATGGCTTATAAGTTTAACTAGCCTTAAGGGTGCTAAGTATTTCCAGCTGAGGCCAAAAGGACTTTCAGCTGGTCAGCAGTTCTTGTGATTGGGCCTGATCCTACTCACTGTACTTTTCTTGCACACCTAGTATTGCTGCATTTTTCACAGATACGAATTTCTTTGCTCACATCTTTTCATGCCTCATTTGCTAACTCTTCTGTTCTGCAAAATTGGCAGGATGACAGCAAGCAACTCCCTCATCCTTTTGTGTCAGGACTAATCCTCAGGGTTCTTTCTGATGTGTCTCCAGAAATACATATTCAGCTTAGGCTGAATGCTGATTTGATTTGTGGTATTAAAATGTGGACAGTGAAGATCACTTTCTGAATATTTTCTGTCTCTTGAAAAGAAACTGTTGTAGAGGTGTACATGAAGAGTTCCAGAGTTTTTATCTCTCTGTCACATAAAAAATGTTTTTAAAATACAGCTCCACTTTAGCACATGCCTAAGTACTTCGCTAAATCTGTACATTTGGCTTCATTTAGCATAGTTGGAGCTTTTCAAGTAGCAATTAGCTGACCAGTAATTTAACAAGTTGTGGTACTTCAGTGCTCACAATTGAGTTACTCTGCTTTGGTGTGATAGACAGATTTTTATTTTGATTTCAGATTATATAGCTTGTTTTTACTTCAGTCTTCTTTTACTCGAGGTATGATTTAATTGAAATTTAGTTGCAATGATTGATAGTTGCTTTATTTGATACCTGTTTGTAAGCATTAATTTGTTACTTTTTCAGCATACTGCTATTTGTCAGAAAAGAATGATACTATTTCTTCTGTCAATGAAAATGAGGCTATAAATGACTGTAGTTTGGGATATGTTTCTGGTATGAGCAAACAGTATTCCCTTGGTGAGTTTTCTGCTATGGAAAACTGGGTTATTGTATTTTAGAAAAAACCTGTATTCCTCTAAAGAGAAGTGGCATTGTGCAACTCCTGGGAACTATAAGAAGAATCTAAATGTATGTGTATTTGCATTCAAAGTATGCCTCAGCATCTGCCATGTTGTTCCTGCTGGTTCATGCAAGGGACTGGAAATGGTTGGTTGCAGGTTCTGTTCCTGATTTTTGTTATTTTGCTTTACCCCAGTTCCATAGGTCATGAGATGAATGATTGAACTCTGTGTACCTGAGTGCAGTCACTGGCCCGGCTCTTCCCAGAGCTACCCTGTGCCTGCCACTGGTGTGGCTCTGTTAGGTCCTGAGCTGGTGATACCCGCAGGCACCAAAGATGAAAATAATTGCACAGATGTGCTACTTTGTATTTTACTGACAAGTACAAAATGATTTAGCAAAGTTACAACTCAAGAGTAAGCTGTGGGAGGAGGGAGATAGAATGTATTCTTTCCTGCTAAAATGACAGTGTTAGCATTCTTGGCAGCATCACAGAGCTCCATGGTAACTTCCGGTTTACAGTTGAAGAATGCACCGAATAGCATATACTGTTTAATTCTGGGTTGCATTACACAACAGAAATCGATTGCCTCAGTGAAGCACATCTGCATTGCGAGAGTAAACCCTCCTGGGAAGCAAGCGCATCTTCCGCAGAAGTTGGAGTGAGGCGTGGCCAGGGCATTGCTATTTTGGCAAGCAAAGGGAGCCAATGTTGGAAAGCTGCCTCACCTTTCACTTTCCATGGAATTTACCCTTTCTCCCTGTTTCAGGCAACAGCCACTGCCACTTGCTTCTCCTGGTGCTGGTGTGGGCCTGAGGATGCTTTCTATGTTTGATTAAAGCATGAATATGGGTTTTGAGAGCCATGAAGATGTCTTCGCTGTCTCTCTGACTTGTTTGTGATCCCTGGGGAGGATAGGCTATTAAGGAGCAATAATGCAATTATTAAGTAAGGAATGCAATTCAAAAATCATCTGGAAGAACTAAGAAAATGTTTTGATTTTTATTAAAAAAACCCAACCAACCAAACCAAACCAAGCCAAATCCACACCTCTGTGAGAGTATCTTCTTTAACTCATAGGTAGGCAGTAGTTGATGACAGGTACAAAATTCCTGTCATTTTTATACTGTGTTTCATTGGCTTCTTCCAAGTCTCTTGCTTACTGGAAGCAAAGTCAGGCTCCTGCTCTCTCAGTTCAGCGGAAGTTCTTCTGTCAGCCTAAAGCTTGGTTATTAACCCTCATATTCCTCTTGTCAGCATGCATTATTTTTTTATGGCAGTGTTGAGCAAAGACTCTCCAACAGCATGCCTGACAATGTAATTGGACCTCTCTGTCTGATAGAAATTACTCTCTTTAATAGGGGGCTCTGGATGCTTTCTTTAAAGCAGGCTGGGTGTCTGGTCAGCCAGTCTGAAATTTGGGTGCACAGAATTTCACCTGGCACTATAAGTAGTTATTCATGATTTGCTGTTAAACTGCAGGACTGGAGTGAGTGAGATTCCCCAGGGGTCTGTCCTGGCTTTGGTAATACTTACTGTTTTCATTATTGAAATGACTGATGGAGCAGAGACAGCAGTTATTAAATTTACATAGGATAAGAAGCATGGAGGGGCTGCAGGCTCCTTGGAGAGCAGGCTTAAAGTTTAGACCTGCCCTGGCTAGGTGGAGGGGTAGTTTGGGTTAAAAAATACCAGGATACAAACTTAGAAGCAGCATACAGGGATAGAAATACCCAGTTGCATGACACAGGATGGAGAATGGCTGACTCAGCAGTGGTCCTACAAAAGGTTTGTGAGCTGGAATTGGGATGTGCTGGAGGCAATTTGGCCTGGTTTAGTTGAATAGGGTGTTCAAAATCACAGCTGGCTCCCAGACCACCAGTGAATACTAGCCCGCAGCATGTCCTGCTCTCCAGTCCCCTGGGAGCTGGGCTGCCAGTGCTCTGCTGAGTGGGCAGCTCATCCTTCCCTTCCCTGCTTGCTTCCACTCCAACCCTGGAGATGGCAGCCCTACAGCTCCATCATGAGCGCCTGCAGGGAAGAGCCCCAGCTCCTCCAGGCCTCATCCATATGTGCAGGACAGTGCATGTGAAGGGGATCATAGACCTGAGACTGTGGGTGTTATACGGTTGTACAAGGAACAAGGTTTACCCATCCCTGCCCCTCAATAAAGCATTGTTTTGGGGTGTGTAAAGAAAAGGCACGAAATAACCCATCCATTCCACTCAGTGTTGGAAATAGCTCAACATCTAGTTTGGGGCACAACAAAGTCAAGAGCCAGTTGGATGGCATCCAGGAAGAAGACAGTGAAAATGATCAAAGATTTGGAAAGCATGACCTGGGAAAGAAGATGAAAGAAATGAGATTGTTTAGTCTACAGGCAAGAAGGCCAGTAACAGACGTGATAGAAGTGTTCAAGTATGTGGAAGGTTCCTACAGGGAGAAAGGGAATAAATTGTACTGCACAACTGCAGGGGTTAGGATGAGAAGAAATGCACTTAATTTGGAGGTGGCTAGGCTTAAGTAAACACTTAAGAAAACGTTCAAGTGATAAGGGTGTTTTGATGCTGTGGTTATTTGTCTTTGGGAAAGCCATGGAAGCATCATCACTGGAGTTTTTTTTATAAAACAGACAAACCTCCTCCAGGAATACTTTGGGCGCTGCTTCGGGGAAGGAGGTGGAACACATGCTTCTGAAGGTCATTTCCCAGGAAATAATGAAGATTATTACTTTTTGTGATCCTGTGGATTTGGGTAATCTCAAATAACCCAACAAATAACTCCAAAGATAGTGGCAGTTTGTTATTGCAGCATATCACTGGTGGATAGACAGCTGATTTATGCACAAAAGAGTAGTGACATTATCCTTCCGCTCTCTGTTCTATTTTATTTTTTTATTATTATTTTTTTTAAAGAAGCAATCTGAGTAAGCTAATTTTACTGGAACATTTCAAAAGGCTGTTCCTGTAAATATATTACTCTATCCAGAAATAGAGGAAGTAATGTTGGTTGGCTGTGCTTATTGAAATATTGTGCAAACACAATCAGTACTCGCTAATACACAGAGTGGCCGTAGTAAAGCCAACAGTACTCTATGAGGCATAAGACAACAAAAAAGTATTTAACATTTTGAAACACAGCTTCCCCTGTTCCCCTTCCTGGGCAGGGCAGGGAAGAGCAGGTCTCTACTGCTACAGCCTGTGGGAACAGCCTAGGTGGCAGAGGTTCTGCAGGACACATGCAGGAGACATTCATGAGTTGGTAGGGCCAGGAAGTTTGGGTCTGGTGAGAGCAGCCAGGCTCCTTGTCTCCTAGTGCAGCTCTAGGCTTGAAAGCACTGAGTGGTGTTTTGTCACTGTCATCCTGGGACTAGGAGCACTGGCGGAGAATGGTGCAGAGTCACCATCTGCCCAGCAC